TAACTGAAAAGTCGGTGGTGTGAACCCATCGGCAGCTCTGCATGAGAAAAGACCTGGTGATCTTCTCCTGTAAAGATTATAGCTGAGGAAACCCTATGGGGCAGTTCTACTCTGTCACATGAGGTCGCTGTGAGTCAGAATCAACTTGACAGCAACTGACAACAACAATGTAAATACAGGTTTGGAAGTGTACAGTCCAGACCGCTAACAATAGTTACCTCTACGGAAGGAAGGGAGTGGGGAAGGAAGAAAGGCTTTGCCTCTACACACTCTATATACTTCTGCTTAGTCTGAATTTTTTATTATTTTTCGGCATGTATTCATGTTTAAATTACAGGATGTGTAATTTTAAAACAGTGACAATATTTTAAAAATCATATTAAACAAAGTTTTGCAAGTAAGGGAAAAGAACTTGATGAAGTAGAATGCCATAGATTTGGAGGGGTGTTGATTCTTTTAGTTGATTTCCTCCAAGGTTTTTCAGCAGTCCGGGGCCAGGAGTGGAAGAAGATGCTGAATCTACCTAGGAGAAGGTGCAGAGCTAAGACACAGGGACTCGGCAGTTACTCTAGGCATTTTACATCAGTTAGCCCATTTAAGGAGTCCCTGGGTGGTGCAAATGGTTAAGCACTTGACTACTAGCCAAAAGGTTTGCTCTTTGAACTCACCCAGAGGCGCCTCAGAAGACAGGCCTGGCAATCTGCTTCTGAAAGGTCACAGCCTTAAAAATCATATGGTGCAGTTCTACTCTGCAAACATGGGATCACCATGAGTCTGAATTGACGTGATGGCAACTAATAACAACAACAGCCCATTTAATCCTTGTGAGGTAGATATTAGTAATCCTAGATTTACAGTGGAGGAAAGTGACTTGGAGAGATGAAGTCAGGAGCCCGTGGTTTAAGAGGTGGTGTGGCTGGGATTCAGACACAGGGCACAGGGGCTCTCCCACTGCCTCCAGCCCCGTTCAAAGCGGGTAAGAAGATTAGGGAACTGGGTGCCCGTGCATGGTCTTTGAAATGGCAGACCCCTGTGTAAGAAAGGAAGTAAAGCCAGGAGGCTTAGGATAGGATTTAGTGGAAGAGGTGTGAAAACAGAGTAGGGTTTTGGATTTTACATGACCAAAGCTCTGTGGCATCCCGCATCTTTCAGCCTCTAATGAAGTGCTGAGGTGAGCTGTGAGGACTGAGGTGTTGCCTGGGGATGGACTGGCTTGTGACCCAGAAAACTGTGGTGGTCAGGGAGCAGGAGAGAAGCTGGACCCAGCTGGCCTCTGTTCCTTGGTGTATTTCCTCTCCCAGCCCCGTTGACCTCATGCCTGAGTCCTTGAAGTAGACATTTAACCACAACTCTGAGCCTTGTGGGGGTCAAGCAGCTCTCCTTGAGGGTCCCTGCACCTGGGGGGACTGGATTAGGGGCAAGGGGCATGAGGCATGTTCTAGTTGCTGTGGCACACAACTCAGGCACGAGTGGCATGGTGGCGGGTGTGTCCCCTCCAGCAGGATTGTTCATGAGCTGCTTAGATATTTCCTAAATCCTGTTGCCATGGAGTCAATTCTGACCCATGGTGAGCCCGTGTGTTACAGCGTAGAACTGTTTCATAGGGTTTTCTGGGCTCTAATCCTTATGGAAACAGATTGCCAGACCTTTCTTCCATGGTGCTGTTGGGCGAGTTTGGACTGCAAACCTTCAGGTTAGTAGTCAAGCAAAAATCATTTCTACCACCTCCACCTCCTAGTGGTGGGGTTTTTTGCAGGTGCCTGTGGGGCCTGAAGAGCGCTGGTGGCCCAGTGGTTAAATCTTGGCTGCTAACCAAAAGGTCAGCAGTTCAAATCCACCAGCTGCTCTTTGGAAACTCTACGGGGCAGTTCTACTCTGTCCTGTACGGTCACTATGAGTGGGAATCAACTTGATGGCAACAGGTTTGGGGGGCCTGGATGAGCCAGTGGGTGGCAAATACCACTGAGATTTGGGTTACTTCTGTTACTGTGACCCCTTTTGTGTCCACCATCACTGAGGCCTGGGGAAAGTCTGGTTCCACTGGGTGAAGTATTCAGGGACATCAAGGTGCAGGATATGGTCAGAGAAGGAGGAGCAGGTGGAACTGACACTAGGTTGCTGGAGCAGAGGTGAAGGGCCTATGACTTTCTGGAGTGTTCCAGGAATGAAAAAGAGTGGCCTGGGAACAAGGGGGTGGGGGTGGTTTGCTCTCTGTGATTCTAGAAGCAGACAGATGACACCTACCTTTCTGGTGGGCTCCAGTATCTTTCTTAACCTTAGGTCTCTATGTCTAGGGTCCTCATACTGCAGAGCTGGAAATCAGTCAACGCTGCTATCCAGCAGCTCTTTGAGAACAGAGAGCGTAGGCAACCACCTCCTGAAAATGTGAAAATGTGAAAAATGTGGCAATGTGCTTCCTAAAGCTTACAGCCTTGGAAACTCTAAGGGGTAGTTCTACTCTGTCCTATAGGGTCGCTATGAGTCAGAATAGACTTGAAGGCAGTGAGTTTTTTTGTTTTTTTTTTTAAAGCAACCAGCAACCAAGGGGCCTTCTGCCCTAGTGTGTCCCCTTCCCTGGCCCCCAGCCCTCTCAGTAGCAGATTTCAAGGATTTCCCAGGGGAAGCTGGGACACAGAGGCCCTGCCGGCAAGGGGAGGGCTGAGAAGGTTGGAGCAGCCTGGAGCCCAGAAGGAGGCAACGTCAGACCCTGAGTGGTCAAGGCTGGACTTCTAGATGCGGGGAGACAGGGAGAAAAGGCGGATGGAGGTGGTGCACTTTGGTGATTCAAAGCGTTTCTTCACGGATTACTTTTTTTTTTTTTAATCAGAGGGATACAGATTCTCACTGGAAAATTTACTTTCTAACAAATAACAGGTCAGAGGCAGAAAAAGTATAATTTAGGTGGGGTAACTTTAAAAATATTTTCTCCTTGTTTTTCTTGAGACATCTTTACAAGGCAGGGAGGATATGCTTAGACTCGACAATGGAGCCACGTGCCAGTGCTTTGGGCCAGTTTGGCCAGTAAAGAGGGAGAATTGCAGATCGCGACAGATCTGCTCTCGAGTTACCAGGACTTTATGCTCTTCTGTCGTCGGGGAGCCGCCTGATATGCACGCGGCCCGGGAAGATCGTGGCTCCAGGAGCACGGGGGCTGCGAGACTTAGGTTCCCCGGCGCCCTGGAGCCCGAGCTGCGCCGCAGGTGACGCTGGTACCCCAGAGCGGGTGTATGAGTCCCAGCGCGGCAGCACACACTCCAGCGCGGAGCAGCCTCCAGGTCTTCACAGTAGCCGGGCTGAGGCGGGAGCGGCGGTATCTCAGGGTCGCTCGGGGCCGCTCTAGGAAAGGTGTGGACAAGAGAGGGAAGGAAGGGACAGGCTGGCCGGGCCGCGCCGGGGGCTCCACGAACTCAGAGCCGATAGGAGGGCGGGTGCTGGTAGGTGTCCAAGATGGGCTGCTACTGGGTACTTGCAGGGGCGCCGCCCTCCAGCTGACGGGGAGGCTGCGTCTCACGCCCAGAGAGGTTAAGTGATTCTCCCAAGATCACACAGCGAGCTAGTAGCGGTGTGTGGTGTGCTGTCCTCAGGCCCAGCCCTGCACGGCGGACGCCACCTCTCCTGCTTATGCCCTCGCAAGCAGGGAGCCTTTGGAGTCTAGAAGACCGATGGCGAAAAATCAGGAACGAAAGGAGGACGGCATTACCAGTTTGCCACAAACGTATGGCTTTACAGCACATCGCCACTCCAACGCCTCTGTGGCCCGAGGCGCGGTGCTACAGGTCCAGGTGCGGAACGGGTGCGCCCGTGGGCCGCGACCACCGACGACAAAGCCCAGACCTCACCCGTCTAGGACCCAGAGTGCGAGAGCTCTCACTGACTGGTCACAATCACCCCAAAGGGACGTCCCTCCATTGGCCTCTTACGCAAGACAGCGCCAACCAAGATAGTGAGCTGAATGAGGTCACATAGCTACTACGTTGCGGAGCTAGGATTCGAATTTGACAGTCTTGGTCCTGGTGGCTGTGTGTACAGGACGAGTCCTTTCCCTTCTCTGGCCCGCGGACCCCCGCCAGGCTGCGCATGCTCAGTCGCGGGCGGCGCCCGGAGGAGGAGGAGGTGGCGAGCGCCCCAGCTGCTTTGCATTGACGCCAGCACCCGCTGGAGGTCACCGCTGGAGGCTGGGCGCGGCGTGCTGCCAGCAAGACTCGGTCCGGAGTACGGATCCGGAGCTGCACGGTCCGCTGCTCCCGTGCGCAACCGCTTCGGCGCTTCTCGACGGCGCGGCCCTAGACACAGCTGGGGCCGAGGTTTCTCCCTTCCTCTACGCTGGCGGACGCGGCCCCGCCGCCCCGACGGTCTTCCTTCGGCCTCCTCTTCCTTATCCTTCGGACGGCAGGATCGTTTGGGCTACCCTTCCCCGCCGTTGGCGCTCGGTCCAGGGGAGCTTTTTAGCGGGGCGGTGGCCAGCGGGCGGAGCGGCGTGGGTATCCACAACGAGGCGGAGCCGGGGCCCGAGAAGGCGGCTGCGGCAACAGTGCCTCTGGGCGTGAGCGGGGCCCAGAGCGGGCTCGGCGGGGAGCTCACCTCCTCCAGGGGTCGCGCCGCCTCACAGCGAGGGCGGTGTCGCCCGCGCGGCACGAACTCGCCTGCTCTTGGGTGGGGAGAGCGCAAATCTCCCCGAATTTCCCCGGAAGCGCGGCGCGGCTGAGGCGAACGCTGCAATGT